GATGTTATCATGTTATCATCATGTTATCATCATGATGTTATCATGTTATCATCATGTTATCATCATGTTATCATCATCATGTTGTCATCATGTTATCATCATGTTATCATCATCATGTTATCATCATGTTATCATCATGTTATCATCATGTTATCATGTTATCATCATCATGTTATCATCATGTTATCATCATGTTATCATCATGTTATCATGTTATCATCATCATGTTATCATCATGTTATCATCATGTTATCATCATGTTATCATCATGTTATCATCATCATGTTATCATCATGTTATCATCATGTTATCATCATCATGTTATCATCATGTTATCATCATCATGTTATCATCATGTTATCATCATCATGTTATCATGTTATCATCATGTTATCATCATGTTATCATCATGATGTTATCATCATGTTATCATCATGATGTTATCATGTTATCATCATGTTATCATCATGATGTTATCATGTTATCATCATGTTATCATCATGATGTTATCATGTTATCATCATGTTATCATCATGATGTTATCATCATGTTATCATCATGATGTTATCATGTTATCATCATGTTATCATCATGATGTTATCATGTTATCATCATGTTATCATCATGTTATCATCATGATGTTGTCATCATGTTATCATCATGTTATCATGTTATCATCATGTTATCATGTTATCATCATGTTATCATCATGTTATCATCATGTTATCATCATCATGTTGTCATCATGTTATCATCATGTTATCATCATCATGTTATCATCATGTTATCATCATGTTATCATCATGTTATCATGTTATCATCATCATGTTATCATCATGTTATCATCATGTTATCATCATGTTATCATGTTATCATCATCATGTTATCATCATGTTATCATCATGTTATCATCATGTTATCATGTTATCATCATCATGTTATCATCATGTTATCATCATGTTATCATCATGTTATCATCATGTTATCATCATCATGTTATCATCATGTTATCATCATCATGTTATCATCATGTTATCATCATCATGTTATCATGTTATCATCATCATGTTATCATCATGTTATCATCATTTTATCATCATGTTATCATCATGATGTTGTCATCATGTTATCATCATGTTATCATCATCACGTTATCATCATCATGTTATCATCATGTTATCATCATCATGTTATCATGTTATCATCATCATGTTATCATCATCATGTTATCATGTTATCATCATGTTATCATCATCATGTTATCATCATGTTATCATCATCATGTTTACATGTTATCATCATGTTATCATCATGATGTTATCATCATGTTATCATCATCATGTTATCATCATGTTATCATCATCATGTTATCATCATGTTATCATCATGTTATCATCATCATGTTATCATCATGTTATCATCATGTTATCATCATCATGTTATCATCATCATGTTATCATCATGTTATCATCATCATGTTATCATGTTATCATCATCATGTTATCATCATGATGTTATCATGATGTTATCATCATCATGTTATCATGTTATCATGATGTTATCATCATCATGTTATCATGTTATCATCATGTTATCATCATCATGTTATCATGTTATCATCATGTTATCATCATCATGTTATCATCATGTTATCATCATCATGTTATCATCATCATGTTATGTTATCATCATGATGTTATCATCATGTTATCATCATCATGTTATCATGTTATCATCATGTTATCATCATGTTATCATCATGTTATGCTCTGAGATGGGCTGAAGCTGCTCTTTTCCACAGATGCTTAAAGTCTTAATCTGTGATTTTTCACACTTAAATGTAGAAATCAAGTATCTCCTCTGAAAATAACTCTGTGAGTCATGACTGTCTACAATGGGTGTAACACCCGAGTCCCACTGTCTGTGATGTTTTCAGAGTTTTCAGAGTCCTATCTGCACTTTGTTTACATCGCCAGGACGGCCGGCTGACTCCTCCCCTCGTGTATAAAAGTTGTTTAATTGAGGGACTAGAGAAAAGAAGAATAACATACTGTACTCACTGCTTAACTGTGTTTCTAGATCACGCTCATTTCAGGTAAATTTACATGCAGTGTGAAGATACCAGCATAATAAAGATCGCTAGCATTAGCATGCTAACACAACAATGCAGCGCCAGTTGTTTTGGTTTCATGCTGGTGCTCAAGGGCGACATCTGCTGGATCAAAAAATCACATATAAAGACTTTAAGCTTGTGTCCTAGTAGTTGTTTTGTTTTGCTCTCAGGAATCACCACATGCCTTACATGTGTGCTCAATTAGCAGAGAGCAGTCATAGAAGAGTCTCTGCTTTCAGATCGATTTGGGAGACACCTTTGACCCCATGAAACGGCCGTTCAATCCAGAATACCGCGACTACAAGCCCCATAATCCTCCTGCGGTGAAGAAGGCAAAGTGCGCTGACTCTAAAGGAGACGTCCCTGTGACTGTGGAGATGGTAAGAAGAACTTCTTTATCTCAATGTTAATTAATGAAAAGACTGTGTAGTTCAATCAAAGATGGACAGATACTTTATTGATCCCGAGGGAAATTCAAAGCATCCAGTAGCAGGTTACAAAGACATGACATGAAACATTTGTTACAAATTAACCACAAAACCGACGCCCCCCCCCCCCCCCCCCATACATATATATTAACCTGAAAAAAGATTTAAAGAATCCCCCTAGATGAATCAAACTTAAACTGTGCAATTTAAAATAGACTTATACAAGAAATGTACATAACCTGTGCAGGGATAAAAATATATGTTACATTTAAACAAGAACCTATAAACAGTTGAGGAAAAAAATCTGTAATTAGACCTGAATATAAAAACTAAGAATAAAAAGGTGTTGACCTTCTGAAGTCGTGAAATCAAATCAAATGTTTGATCTTTTTTCTTCTATCTGCAGCAGAAAAAGGCTCCAGAAACAAAGTCTACACCGACGACCCCAATGAGTGTCCTGCAGCGGCCCGCTCCAAAAGTCAAACCCAAGAAAGTCGTTGACGTGGAGAAGCGGGAGGGGGCGAGAAATGTAGCGTTGTGTCATCATCACTCAGAAGACTAAAGAACTTATTAAACGGCAGCTCTTAAATGTGTGTTCATCTGTGTGTGTTTCATCTGTACTTATCCCTGTAGCCTCCACAGATCATCCCTCCGATAGCTCCACCCAAACCAAAAACTCCAACTCCACATCCTCGCAGGCAAAAACCCGTACCACCACCACCACCGCCCCCCCTCCCACCACGGGGCACCACCCCCGAGGTCCCGATGTTCCTCAAACAGTTTACAGAAGCAGACTGGTTTAAAGACCTCTTTCCAGATCAGAAGGTAGTCAGACACATCTGTCAAGCAGCATCCAATGAGATCCTGCACATTGTTGATGTGTGTGTGTGTGTGTGTGTGTGTGTGTGTGTGTGTGTGTGTGTGTGTGTGTGTGTGTGTGTGTGTGTGTGTGTGTGTGTGTGTGTGTGTGTGTGTGTGTGTGTGTAGTGTATCTCAAACATCCTGTCACCAGAGGACTTCTCCCTGCAGCTGCTGGTCGGTCTGACCTCCTGCAGCCCTCGGTCTAAGGTCCAGATCCTCGCTGCTCTGCGGGCGCTACACAGCCAGCGAGCTTTACCCAACGCACACACGCTCTCCCAACGCCTCGTCCATCTGCTGCCCACATTAATGAAACCTCACATGGTAGGCTTTCTTCTGGATCCAGATGCTCACTGTGCAAACTTTGCAGCAGATGAATATTTAATTTTTCTTTTTTTAAATCTTGTGTTTCAGTCGGACGTGGAGCGATCCTCTCTCGTTGAGTTGCTCTATCTTTTAATGCAGCTCAAGTGTGTCGACAACGACCTCGGGAGAGAGCTTCTCACTCTTCTGGCTTTTAAGAAATCAGGCCTCCGGTGAGTCAGTCAGCCAAAACTCCTCACCGCAAAAACTCTGCATCTTCACCGCACTCTGCAGAGAGAGAGACGGCTCAGCCCCGGAGTGTGCCGGCCATCTCTCTCGATGTTTACAATGTGAAAGGCTGACATGCTGAGCCTTCAGAGAAGCGTTCAAAGCCCCCCCCCCCCCCCCCCCGGAAGTTTATTGTGATTTCTGCTCATTATATTTACTGTTTTTCCATTAGAAGTCCTCTGCACCTTTAAGAAAAAGCTAAAGACCCAGCTCTTTCATGAATACCTACTAACTTAATGATGATGGTCTCCATATTATTGATGATGATGATGGTAATGACGATGGTTTCTGTTTGATAACGACGACTTATAAGATGGTTTCTATACTGATTAGAGCTCTCAAGAACTGCCCTCAATGTTGTGCTTTGCCTCTGGTCACTTCCTGTCAGCACCTGTGTGTCCAATCAGACTCAAAGCTGATCGTTTGCTCTTACTGACATTGTTCCCTTTTTTCTAGATCCTTGCTTGTGTTGTTCTTACTCTCTGATGTACGTCGCTTTTGATGTAGTGAAGTGTAGTAGAAGTGGGTGGAGCCTAAAACAGAGGTGAAAGAGAGGGGGGAGTTTGAAGTGAAACTGCAGACTGATGTCGCTCTTTACCTGCTGGCTGTTTGATTGTGTTTATCATGACGCCCACAGTGTTTTTGTATATTTGTTATACAAACGTATTAAAGTGTTATCACATCCACAGAGACACAGCGCTCGGCATGCTGACTGCAGCCGGCGTCCATGAGGCTGAGGAGTGGCTGTGGCCAGAGCTGGAGAGCTGGAATTCAGAGCTGTGGGACCCGTCTAACATCTGGAAGCACCTTCACCACAGAGCAGATTGTTGGCTGGAGTTGTGGATCTCCAAATACAAGGTGACAAAGACAAGTGTGACATGAGTACAGTAGTGAGACATCTTTAACCTGAAGAGTTTCTGACTACATGTGAGAAAAGTGTTTGAATGGTTAAACCTCCTTACACAACAGATATCACTGGAACAACAATCAGACACACTCAAAAACCAACTCACTGAATTCAACAAAATATACTCCACAATTCTCACCACCATTTAGATGCCACAGCAGAACCAGGCAGGTAAACGAGGAGGAGAGTGGAATGTGTATAACCTCTCCCACCAGTTTTATTTGACATCATTGTGTTTCTGTACTGTCCTCCATGTTTTTCTTTGTCCTGTTTGCTCATTTACTTATTTTGTCCCTCTTTCTAATTCATTCATTTTATTTACTGACCCGTATCGTACCACAGTTCCCCTCTTGTTTGTATCTCTTTGTTTATTGTGTGAGTGTGTGTACATTCTTGAACAGCACTGCCCTAGAGGAGGTAGAAGCTTTCACCTACCTAGGCAGTGTTGTGGACACCACTGGAGGGACAGAGGCCGACATTAGAAGCAGAATTAACAAGGCTAGAGTGGTGTTTCACATGCTCAGATAGATCTGGAGCTCAAAACACATCTCCACAAACACTAAGATACGCATCTTCAACTCCAACGTTAAACAAGTGATGCTGTATGGATCCAAAACATGGAGAACAACAAAACACACAACACACAGGCTGCAAACATTCATCAACACCTGCCTCAGAAGGATATTAAACATCTGGTGGAAAGACAAAGTCAACAATGTGGACCTGTGGAAAAGAACAAGCCAAGACCCCAAAGACTTACAAATCCGAAAGAGAAAGTGGAGTTGGATTGGCCACACCCTCAGAAAACCTGCCACAAACATGACCCGAGCAGTCCTGAAATGGAACCCCAGGGGAAAAGGAAAAGAGGTCGCCCCAGGAACAGCTGGAGAAGAAGTGCAGAGGCAGAAATGTCAGAGAGTGGACTCAACTGGGGAGAGCTTGAGCGAAAAGCCACAAACAGAGTGAAATGGAGGATATTTGTCAGCGGCCTATGCACCCAAGAGGAGCAAAAGGCTTAAGAAGAAGTAAGAAGAAGTGTGTATGCACGTTTTGGTGAATAAAAGTAAAAAAGAAAGAAAAGTGTTTTTAAAGTGAGCGTCTCTCCGTCTGCTCGTCAGCGCTCCTCTGTGACTCACTCAGCTGAGAGCGGGTCATGGTGCTGTTGTCTGTGTTGTTACTGCAGGTGATTAACTGCTGTCTGCTTCTTTTTGCACCGGTCCAGGAACACGTCGAGTATCAGGGGAAGAATCCGACCTTCAGCGTTGTTGATGTGCTCAACTATTTCTGCTGCGTGCAGAGAGACAAGTACAGGAAGACCCGATGTGTCGCTCCAGCTGCTCGCAAAAACACTCTGCTTCTGCCCCTGAATGAAAGGGTAGAGGTCATGTAGAGGTCATGTACTGATTTCCTGCTGAAAGACAAACATCCTTTAAAGTTCTGATTTGTTCAGTAGTTCTCAGCCGATCCTTCGTCTGGGAGAGACTCACAGCATGAGCAGGACGTGGAGGCCGCCAGGCGAGATTCTCTTTTCACTTCACATTTTGTGTCTCGTTCATGTTTCTCACTTCATAATGTCCGATGTGTTTTTGTCCTCCAGGGATCATTCTGCCTCCGCTCAGAACTCGTCCTTTCCTCTCTCACTTCCCGAGTTTCATCTGTTTGCCTGTACCGCGGCTCACGCTCCGCCCCTTCCACGTCCAATCGGAGGACGACTGGGTGAAGGCCTCCAGCCGCCGCCGCTACTTCATCCAGCAGCAGTCGTACGTCGAGTACTACAGATGATAAATCTTTTGTCTCAAACACCGTAAAGATAAAGAGCTTTATTTTATACTTTGATAGGACTGAAACAACACGTTACTTTCTGAGGATTTATTCTGCGCCTGGCGGGATGTAAATGATTTCATGGCACACGGACGAGTTGGTACAAACACATTCAATTAACAGAAAAAACAATCAGGAATTTTTAAAGATATTCAAGAAGACAAATATGCATCAAAAAGATCTTTACAGAGAATTCATCCAGATATGTTTTTTTTTTTCAGTGAACAAAAACGTTAATATTTCTTTAGAAACAAATGTTCAAACGTTGAGCGAGCAGACGTTAAAAAGATCAAAGTGAGAGTTTGTTGATGTTATTCACTCATAAAGGTCACATGATGTACAGGAGGCTGGAGGTGGTTAGCTCTGACCCCTCACAGCGTGTGGACGGGATCCTGTTTATAAAAATCTGTGGCCTCACTTCACGGCTGTTTGTACTGAAGACTGTTGATCCGGTTTCATAAAAAGCAGAAATCAATACAATTCAAATGTTGACATTTCTCTGGTGTGTGTCGGCGAGCGTCCCCTCCGCTCTAGTCCACCAGGTCTTTATCATAGTTGAGCAGGTCGCAGGTGAGGAAGAGGCCGGAGCGCCCGCTCTCCTTCAGCACCCGGTTCAGCTGGCTGTTGGTCATGTTGATCTCTGTGGCTCCGTCCAGCGGCCAGTCTAAGAGCTGAGCGCTGGAGGGCAGGTCGGGGAGTCCGGGCTGGTAGTCCTCCAGAGGGTTCGGGTACAGGAGGTGACGCAGGGAGGGCATTCTCACAGCCATCCTCACCAGGTCCAAGAGGCACGCCATGGAGAGCGGGTTCAGGGCCAGAGCTAAACTCTTGAGGGCGCAGCAGCCTCCCAGTGAGGGCAGCAGGAGAGCCAGCAGGCCGTCTGTCAGGCCACACCCACTTAGAGAAAGATGCTGAAGACTACAGGATGCCTGGGAGAGGAGGCGGCGGATGGAGGGCAGGGTGCTCTCCTCCAGACGGTTCTCACTGAGATCCAGCTGCTGCAGCGTGGACACATGATGGCTGCAGGACAGATAGGACAGATCAGCCGGGCTCAGACTCAAATATGGAAGTTCCAGTATCTCCAGAGGCTGGGGCAGCGAGCTGTAGAGAAAGAAGAAAAAGAACATCAAAATAATATCAAGTCAAACATTTACTAGAGAGGATTCTGTTGTTTCTAAAGGTCCAATCAGTGAGATGTGTAGAGAGTGAGATGATAAAGGTATCTTACTCTCTGATCATTAAGGAAACATGCTATGTTGAAGTGCTGGCTTCTCTGACAACAATGCAGCAGCCAGTATGTCCTCCTTCTAACTTTAGATTCTGCGCAGTTATCAGGTCAACAGGTGTTGCAGCGATGGAAGCGGTCAAGAGAAGTGGTTCAGATAGAAGTGATTGTACCCGACCTAAAAAGCCTCTGCATGTTTCTAATAAGCTCCACGAGCAGAAACGTGCTCAAACTAGGATCAATATTGGAGATGCTTTTGAAAAATGGAGAGAGGTTAGAACACAGAAAGGTTTACAGACCCATGCAGAGCTGGATAAACACTGAAGCTTCAGAGTCCACCACATGGTGACCTGAGTGAGCATCCACTCTAGAGAGGGGGGGGGGGGGACAGCTCTCTATGATGTTTAGAATTTAGACTGCAGTACCCATTTTAAACACTAGGGTCAGAGTTACATACTGCTCCTTTAAGAAAATAAAGTTGAAATAAATCCAAAATGTTTCTTCCTTCTGTGTCTTACTTTTCATCTAGTCACAGAGTCAGATCCTCATTATGCCGCCAATATAAAAGTCAGCTTGAGAAATATAGGTTGTGCACACTGAAGGTTTCTCATTCAGAGATGAGATGAGATGATTTGAGATGATTTGAGATGATTTGAGATGAGATGATTTGAGGGTTGGTGCTAACTGAATTTATAAACTGGTATTCAAATAGAACAACAGGTCGTACCTGAGCAGAACGCGCAGCTGTCCAGGCAGTCTGAGAGCAGTGAGGCTGAGACGCCGCAGTTCTTGCAGCTGAGCCAGACCCTGAGATAAGTCCCTCAGAGCCTCCTCCTGACCCGGGTGGTCTCTGCGGAAGTCCAGGTTACAGTAGTGAAGGCGCAGAGACCTCAGAGCAGGAAACACAGAGAGCAGAGGCAGCAGCTCCACCAGGCCCGACACCCCCAGACTGCTGTAGCGCACATCGATGCCCAGCAGACTGTGGCGGGGCAGCAGGTCTAGGAGGGTCTTGATGCTGGACACTGAGATCTCTTCCACACGGAGGTATCTGCACTGAAGCTTGAGGGGTCCCGGTGTGCTCAGAGCTGCACGCACACGCTCCCAAGAGCGAGCGTTCACAAACAGGTCGGCCCTGACGTGCACCAACACAACATGGCCGACGTCTGTTTCCTGTGTCTCCGTCCGACTTCCTCCTGAACCCGTCAGAGCTGTTTCTCTTCTTCTGTCCGTCTCCATCCTCCTCCTGACTCCTTTCCTCAGATCCTCTTCACTCAGAGTCCCGTATGATCCGATCCATCCTCTGTCCTCGTCCCCGTTAGGTTCCCTCTTCCAGAGCGCCCTCTCTCTCTTCACGTCCTTCTCTCTCTCCAGCTCTGAGAACCTTTTCCTCTCCCTCTCTCCCTCTCTCCTCTCTCCCTCTCTCCTCTGAGCCCTCTGGGCTCCGGCTCCGGCCTGAACCACCATGGTGCAGAGAGCCACGGTCAGAGACCAGCCCCCCATGGGGTCTCCCATGCCTCCTTCATCTCCCTGGAGTCCACAAAGATCCAGGACCTGCAGGGCACACCTGAAAAGAGAGATGTTTTAAACGTTACTTCAAACAAACTGATGAACAGGACCGATTACAGAGCTGCTCTCTGATTGGCCCAAAAGGACAGGTAACAGGATATTAATGCTGCATCCATGAGCTCCTCGGATCGCCCCACTTTGTTCACGTGTTTCCACTTCAGAGAGTCTGAATGTTACAACAACAACAACAACAACAACAACAACAACAAAGGGAGACGCTATGAAGGAGATGTTTGAATGTCTCCTCTCTGATTGGCTGATTGTTGTTGTTGTTTATTCTGTTGTTGTCCTGACTCACTTTGTAAACATCTGTGTTTTTGGGGCTTCAGGGCCTCCGTAGCTTTAAGAGAACCCATCCAGAGGTCTCACCTTCGGTCCGACAGTCCTCTCACCACAGCCAGCAGCAGAGCCTGGATGCACAGTCGGTTGGGGGGGTTCTTCCTCCGCCCCCCCACGCGCAGAGTCCGATCCGGCCACCTCTGCACGAGCTCTCC